TTGTTTTTACCTTTGGATTAAGTTAATATTTTTGTCAGATATGTGTATTTTTACTTGGAACTTGGGAGTGTTGCTAACACAAGACATTAGAGACCATATTGATGTATTGTTTTCTATTCAATTTATTCATTAAGCTTTCTTTACTTGGTCTTAAAAAGGCCTTAAAAAGTCTTAAAGTTACCTTCACAAACCCCGCATGAGCAAACTGTGTGACTGAGGCTGATTCTTCAGTGCTGTAGGATGATTTTAAAACATGAAGTCTTTACAGGATAAATTGATTGAGCATAGTAATGTTGAAATACAGAGTTCTGGCATGAAACTCTAGATGGCGCAGTCCGATAGGTCTAACTCAGTTTGACATAATGACAGCATCATTACGTCACCGCTGACTGGTCCTCTCCTGTATCGGTAGCCAATGAGCTCGCTGCTCAACATTCAAATACTTGGCTAATGCTTGTGGTAGAAGTGTGCATCACACTCCAGAAACCCTCCACCATCCCCAGCTCCACCTGTATAGATCTGCTACGTGGTGATCATGTATGCTATGGGGGTTATTCATGTTATATGTGCAGCAGCAGTATTTCTTACATGCTCACAGCAGCAAGTCTCGGTACTTAGCAGCGTAGCACAGTGGTTTTCAATCCTGATCCTGGGGACCCACAGCTCTGCACATTTTGCATGTCTCCCTATTTTACACACCTGATTCAGATCATCAGCTCATTAGGAAAGAGCTCCATGAACTCAAATGAGTGTGTCAGATAAGGGAGACATGCAAAATGTGCAGAGCAGTGGGTCCCGAGGGACAGGATTGAAAACCACTGGCATAGCAGATCTATTCCGCCAAGACCAAATGCATTAACATTGTCATGTACCAATGTACCATGCCAATCCCGCCGAGAGTTGTCATGACAGAAATATCACATTTGCCTACCCAGACTTGCACTTTAAGACCAGGATGAGAACAAGTCAGTACCTGATTTAACACGCATCAGTTGCTCCTAGGGTTGCAAAGGGGTGGAAAATTTCCAGTAAATTTCTGGAAACTTTCCAAAAATCCCTGGAATATTCCAAAAAAATCCTGGAAAGTTTCCAAAATTTATGGAATGTTTCCAAAATGTACTGGATTTTTTCCCACCTTTTTGCAACCCTAGTCGATCCTCAAGCTTTACGGATGGGAATGTCATCAAGTACCTTTCTCCCTTCTGCTCACAGATACGTCAAAACCACAGCCAAAGCCACGGTGGATCACCTGTCGAAGTACCTGGCTCTGCGCGTGGCTCTGGAGGAGGGTTCGAGCGGCACGCCGGAGGGAGCTATGCGGCACGTCAGCGAGAAGCAGTTCACCATCTACATCAGCACAGCGGCGGGACAGTTCACCGTGAGTCCGAGCGCTGCTGCGGTCAGAGCAATCCCAGGCTGCCTTGCCCTATCCTCACCCTCTCTGTCTTTCAGACACTGAATGGCTCGCTGACGCTGGAGCTGGTCAACCAGAAGTTCTGGAAGCTCTGCAAGCCTCTGGAGCTCTTCTACGCTCCCACAGACCAGAACCAGACACCTCAGCTGCGACAGATGGACGACGAAAGCCCAGGACAATCAGCTCTGACCTAAGACTCTTTCCGTCCGTCTTGCTCTACTGAGGCCAGCACAGGTTCAGTCAGTCCTCATCACTCACCCTCATGTCGTTCCAATCTTCAGAACACGAATTAAGATATTTTTGATGGAATCCGAGAGCTCTCTGACCCTGCATAGACAGCAACGCAACTGTAATGTTCCCAGGTCCAGAAACGTAGCAAGGAGATCGGTAAAACAGTCCATGTGACATCAGTGGCTCAACTTCAGTCTTGCGAAGCTACGAGAATACTTTTTGTGCGACGAAGAAAACAAAAATAATTTATTCAACAATTCTTCTCCCCGAGTTACTAAGACAGTCTATGCCGCCATTTTGGAGAGTATCACAACGCATATGCACGCTTTCCCCCAAGCGTAAACAGCGCTGATTACGTTCTGGGGTACTCTCCGAAATGGCGGAAGACAGTAACTCTGGGGAGAAGAATTGCTGAATAAATTGTTATTTTTGCTTTGTTTTCAAAATCTAATTGTGTAAATATATCTGTATGTTGTAAATGTGTCCCGTCAGGTAAGAGATGGAGGTGGTCTGTAGGGACCGCACCTGTGGGTTTTGGGACAGGCCCTAAATTCTCAAGTCCTCTGCAGCTGTTATCAAATCTCAATTTATACTAGTGAGACACCATATGTGTACAGATTTCTGTATGGAAACATCTACAGATTCTCAGCAACAATCATGCTTTTGTGTTGTTTTCTGTGCTTGTTTGTTTATAATTTATTTCATTTATTCGTTCAGTGATTTATATGCTTGTCTTCACCATCACTTCACTTTTCTCCTGCCTCCTGGGTTGACAGAAGACGAGATGAGCTGCTGACAGCTAACCATGAACTACTGTTTAAATGGAAGTGACTGCAATAATCATGAGACTGATTATTATTTTAATCTATTGACAACCCTAATATTAAGGTCATAACTGTATGTACTGGTTAAAATTGTCATTTTCATTGTTACTTTCCCAACTAGTTTTTGTACATATTCAGCCGTGCATTGAAAAACTGCCTTATTGCATCTTTTTCATTAATAAAGATGAACACATTTATGCTGGACTACAAGACTGTTGAACTGGACAAATCTGGAGTCCTTGGTTAATTTAGACCGAATAAAAATAAATAAATTGGACATTTTAAAAATCGCTACTTCATCAGAATCGTATGAAACACTGAGTTTTATGGCAGTCGCTATGTGACACCCCCCCCAAAAAAAGGCAATTGATAACAAAAAAAAAAAAGCTAAATGTCATGAAAAAGTCACACTTGCATTGTTTGCGTTAAAAACACCATAGGGAATAAATGGGAAATAGGCAAAAAAGAACATATAGATGTTTTGTTTATAATCTACAAATCAGCTACAATGCAGAAAAAAGAAAGTGCACAGCAATGAAGGGGTGACTATTTTGCCTGAAACCCCTGCTCAGTAACGGCTCAATACTCAGCACTGAATATATATATATATATATGTGTTTCTGCAACTACGGGCACTTTAAAGTCCCAGCAGTGAAATTTTAGATTTATGTTAACATTTGTTATATGATGCTTTATAAATATATTCAGTGTCATTACACACCATATAATTAATTATGAATGTGATTTAATATCAAATTATGAAGCATTTATAGGTCCAAACACCACTTTTGTTCATGTCCCACAACTCTGGTCACAATGTTGAGATGTGTAAAATAAGCTAATTGAATTACAATTTCACATGATTTCAAATAGAATTGTTATATATACATGTTAATTTATAGCATCTTACATTTTTTTGTATTTACCGATCATTTTATATGATTTTTTCAACTAAATGTGCCTGTCCCACACTTTTGTGTCCTTACCGCAACAATGAAAAAAGACTTTTATTAGGACATTTGATCAAAGACAAACAAGTCTGGTTTCTATGGAAACAGAAATTAGCACATTGCTGACCGATTGGGCCACCGCACTCACAAGATCCCCCAAAATATAAGGTAAATATCATCTTTTCTGTGTCAGTATTTATTGTGTCCTTACAGCTTAGTAATTCTGTACTTCAAACTACATTTGAAAATAAATGTGTATTACTGTTTAATTCATGCATATTAAGATGCTAAGAGTCAAAACTAATGACAATTTTCTAATATTGCAGCTAGCATGTCTTGACCGCAGCAAATTTAGGTGTTGCGGTAAATACAAGTTCAAGGTTTACTGTATATTAAATTACAAATATTCAGTCTTTGTTTTCTGTTTCTATTACTGTTCTTCTCTACAGTAGCCTGTTTTTGATTTCATGGCACTTTACCATTGTGTCATTACCGCAGCTCTGATTTATTTTATTTCATATTTTTATTTGCAAAAATATATATTTTAACAAGTTGAGATGATTTACAACTTATATATTAAACTTGCAACATCTTGTCATAAAAAGTTAAATGTTATCTTCAGTGTATGGAAACAATTGACATCTAAGGTTACGGTCTAAATTTTACATGGCATAGAGAAAACCATGAAATCCACTATTTTGGTGCTGATCGTACGGGTGCTGGATGTGTATTTTCCCAGCCTCACTAGCTGCTGCCTGTCTGTCAGGAAGCTTATTTTTTTTATATCAGTATTTACAAAACTGCACAAAATGTAAAAAAAGCTATTGACATTTTTCTTTTATTTCTATAAAAATGTAATATGTATATAATGAATGTTATTGTAACGTTGCGGGGGAAGGACATTTTGCAAGAAGAGTTGAGAAAACACAAAATAAACATGTTCCAGATGAAAATCTTAATGACTCCATGCAATTTTGTTGACCTTTTTACATGCATTACAGACTCTGATGGTTAAAATTTTAATTCACAGGGGTCCATTTTTTTCAAAAGTGCCCCCGTAGTTGCAGAAACACCCATATATATATATATATATATATATATATATATACATGGCTATACAGGCATCTAATGGCTACACCGTGGTATTACAGAAGATTTTTTTCCCCACAAGGTGAAACAAATCTGCCTCAATTCCATGGATTTTAAATATTTTTGCTCTATTTTTAACTTGCATACTGCATTAATTGAAAAATTATGTAACATTTTTTTAAATTTTATACAGAACAGTCCATAATTTATAACATCATTGAAATGAAATGTCGTATATTCATTTCACAAAAACATTACACCATTATAGCCTCCGGTCGGTTTCGACCACAAACACAAGTGTGACTCCCAGATGAACTATCCCAGAGGGTTAGGTGCCTTCTCAGGGTCTTATAAAGGACCAGCACCCAATCACCTGAGGTTCCTCGTGGTCTTAATGGAGAATTACCAGATTACAGCTATCCCGATAACCCAGATTCATAAACACCCTTTGAGTGCTGAGAGGATCAGTAAAGACGGCGCAGGACACAGATGGACTCAACAGTTGTCTTTTATTGAAGGTTTATTACTTCTTCTTGGACACTCCCACAGTTCGGCCGCGGCGACCGGTGGTCTTGGTGTATAGACCACGCACACGCAGCCTGGAGAGGAGAGGAGAGACGAGACGAGAGTGAATCAAACACGCCATCACTTCAGAAACCATCTCCCGTGTGGAGCTGATCGAGCCCATCCTAACAGGTCATTATCTGGTCATCGGAGTGTGTGGCGGGAAACTCACCCCCAGAAGTGCCGCAGGCCGCGGTGAGCTCTGATCTTCTTCAGACGCTCCAGATCTTCTCTCAGTTTGTTGTCCAGACCGTTAGCGAGGACCTGCGGGAAACCACATCAACACTCATCTCCTGCAAATCCAGCCCAGGACACTGCACTCACACACCAAAGCTTCTACGGTCTCCCTTAGAAACGCTGCACGCGCACACAATGGGCATAAAACATGCGTCTTTTCCACACACAAACTTGCCGTAAATATGTACGCACCGTACAGACATGAACACAAACACTTTTTCCTGGCGTGAGAAAAGTAATGAAGTAAACGGCATGTCGATGCACACATTTACATTAAATATTCCACTCATTAATGGAGATGAGCACTGAAATTACAAAGTCATTACGCAGAAGTTAAACCATAATGATATGAATTTAGACACAGCCTATTTGTAGAGGATGCTCTTGATCACTTTTCCTGCAGCGAGGAGTGCTATATATATATATATATATATATAGGTGCACAATAACTCATCTTTAAACTAAACTGCAGATCTCATGTTATGAGAAAATATTTCAGCAATGTTTAATGATGCACACTAGGGCTGTCAAAATGACTGAAAAACTAAATTCAAATTATATTTGAATTTAAAAAGGCACAATTTCAGTTAGGGGGGAATAAAAGCTTTTGGCTTCTCTCCTGAGATGCAGATGAGGTTATGCAGAGTAAAACTAGGCGTTGTAAGCTCCATATATGGGGATTTCTGGGAGATGCAGCACGTACACACAATTCATTTCTGCGCAGGTTCTGGCGTATGGTTTTATAAATCTGAAAACTTGTTCGTACGTACACTTTTAGGATGAAATCTACGAAGAGTTTTATAAATGAGACCCCAGGTGAGTTTAGGAAAGGTTTGCAGGTTTACTTGTCATGCCATTATTAGACTTGTTAATGCAAAAAAAAACCTGCCACAGCTTCATAGATGTACACTAGCAGTTTAGGACCGTGTTCTTCACCAACGGCACAGTTTTACAGAAAGTGTTCTTCTTACCATGGCAGTGAGGAGGTTTTACCTGTGCTCACCATGATTTACAAACGCAACACTATAGAGGATCTGTAGACTCATGTTAGAGTGCAGCCCTGTATTCAGATTTAGGACGCGCTCCGTTTATTATACATTAGATTTACTGAAATCAGTTCAATCATGTATGACATTACACAACCTAGCAAACCTCACGCTGCAGTTACAAAAGAACAAACTATCAGACAAGCCCGGATTATGATTTGTAGTTTTGCACAGCTCTGGCAACTACTGCTCTATAGTGCATTATACAGTCATGGAGAAAGACCTGATTCTGCAGCTGAAGCTTAGAACTTCACTGCGAGCGTACCTGACTGTATTTCCCGTCTTTAATGTCCTTCTGTCTGTTCAGGAACCAGTCAGGGATTTTGTACTGGCGAGGATTCTGCATAATGGTCACCACCCTCTCCACCTGTCAATCAATCAATAACAGCTCAGATAAACATTACCATAAACACCCACATACAAGCTTACACACCATTCTCATTTGAGGCTTTTCACAATCTGCTTCAAAATAACTGATATGGTCTTGCTAGTTTGTCAAAAGCTAAATGTCAATTGTACCACATTTCAGAATGTTCTCCAGCGACTTGTTTTAATATGCTTCTTCCGTTTCTATAAAGAACAATAATGTTAAGTTAATTTCTGGCAATATTGTCAGCTTGACAGCACAGACACTATTGGAAGAGAGCTGGATGACGACATCTCTGAATCATCAATGAACTGACTTTAGCTGGAAAATGACCCTGTTATTGTCCTCTTGCATTATTGCAGACTGTTTCCTGTTGCCACTGTAAAGCACTATATAAATGAAGGTGACTTGACTAAAGCTAAAAGCTGTCTGCTGGATTGTTTGCAGGTGAATGTGTGTTTTAGAAATGTTTTCCTGCTGAGAATAAAGAGTGAAGAGCAAGCGCACCTCATCCTCAGTGAG